TGCCCTGAGGCTCCCCGGCCCGGCGGCGGTCTCGGCGCGGGCGATGGAAGATGGAAGGAAGAAGTACCGCGGTGAGGCTCGCGATCGGCCGGGACGGAGGGCGTGTGGGATCGCGCTCGGGGCTTACCGTCCAGTTGGGGTCGAGGTTTGCTTGGCTTTGTCGCTCCTCAGTTCCCCAGGGTTCCCGGGCTACTTGTGTTTGTGTCTTAACGTCAGGATCTGGTAGCGATTTTCCTTTTGCTCTTTCTTTGTGTTTGTTAGGAGCCCAGAAGGGTCAACTTTGTGGTGTTCAGGTTTAGGGGTTTCGATTCAGCCCTCTGCTTTGAGAACCTAAGACTTGGAAGAACAGCCTGAGGACTCATTCTTGCTTAATGATCAAAAGAAGGAAACCTTTAAAAGAGGACCTGATGTGCCGATTTTACTCTGCCAGGTCAGCTCTTGTATTTAGGGACGATCACGTTTCCCTGTCAGAAAGAAAAAAAAACCTCACAAACTTACATTGAGCGATAAGGGAAGATTATTCGGTTTAATATTTCCAGTAGCTTTTAAAGACGTTTCAGTCACTGTATTGTACATGCTTTTAACTTCATCCACTGTTTTCAGCAATAAGCTCTGGCATATGATGTTCAGAGATTTAAAAACGAAAACAGGCTGACACGTAGAGAACGTGGTTTCAGAAATGTTGTCGGTGACCTAAATAGTAAGTGTTTAGTTTTACTGTTCCCCTGGATGTTAAACACCCAGTAGACAGAGGATGTAATGGGCATTATTATTTGATTTTCCAGAGCCTGGTTTGCCTGCCGGACGGTAGAATTCAGGATTTCCATTCCGGGATAACTCTTCAGTGGGTCCAGATGTTGGCATAAGGAGGAGGGAGATCTGGAAAATTACTCTAAGTGGGATTCTGGGAACAAATGCTTCAGTTCATTAACTGTAATTGAATACAATACGTATATGCAAAGGATTTTGCAAAGCCCGGCAGCCAGGTGAGGAAGATAGGATTTTTGCTGTCAAGAAGCTTGCTTTCCAGTAGGAAAGACTTCTGCAAAGGTTATGATGAAGGAACCCAGAGGGAGGAGAGGTTCAGGTCTAAGGGCTTGGGAGTCCTCTGAGAGGAGCTAGCAGTTGAGCTGGACCTTGAAGGGGAGAGTTTGGCTGGCCTTTGGGGGGTGGAGGGGGACATGTTCCCTGCTGAAGGAAAGGAAATGCACTTTCTATCTTCTTCCAAGAAATAATTTATCATCCTTTCTTTTCTTAGAGTATTTAGAAATCAAGAGATATTTTTTAAAAAAGTCATTAAATTCCTCCTCTTCAGCACTTAAAAATGCAACATGCTCAACAGAACCAGCAAAAACAAATTTACATCTTCTCAACCAATTTTTTTGTGGCTTGATGTATGTCCTTCTACAACTTTCTTATATCCACCCACAAACCGTGTATTACAAATATATGATTTTGTCTTGTTTGTTAGATATTTCATTAACATAGGTTTTAGTGCTAAAAGGGGCAGAGTGGTACCATGGAAAACACTTGGGCTTCTAGGTAGGACCCCTGGCTTGTAGGTTTTGTCACTGACTGGGTGAGTTTTTGCCACTGTCTTAGCAAATCATTTAACCTCTAGCTAAAATTCCCTCCACTATAGGATGAGTGGATTGAGTAGATGCTCTCTCAGAGCATCTGAGGATTTATGGTTTCATGCCTAAACATGAATATACATTCAATGATGTACCCTTAACTTCACATTTTGAATATCTGTCAGTTTGTATGTTCTGTGAGCAGGTCAGTGCTCTTATCTTGGCCATTTAATGTGGGGAAGTGATTAAAGCTGCAAAGCAAAAATAACATTATTTTAAGGTGAAATTCCACTGTTGAATGTTTTTTTAAAAAAAAATGCAAGCATAAGAAGCTTGATTCTCAAATCTGAATGTGTGTTGGCTTTAAGAAGTCTTGCTGGCTCTGTTCACTTTATTTGTGACCAAAGAATAATACATGCTTTACTATGCGCATTGTACTTACAAGATTCAATTTTGCTTTTAATTAAAGTAAACACTAGCAATTAAAAACATTACCTTGGAAATCCTTAGGCTAGTAAATCTTGGGAATTTGGAAATAAAAATAAAATAAGACAGAAAATCAGCTCATTGAAAAAAGGAAAATTCAGAGATAGTTTCCATCAGTGGCTCTATTCAATTTTTAAAACCTTGAAATTGATCTGTTTGCTAACCCTGATGGAAACTATGTGAGTGGGATTTAGCCTGGCATTACATTAAAAAAAAAAAGTGCCCGAGGCATTACTACTTTTGGAGGTGAGTTTTTTTTTTTTTTTTAGTAATTTTGGAGTCATCTGTCACACATTATTCATAAATTAAGACACCATTATGGTAATGGCCTAATCTCAGTCTTGGTTAAGAAGTGCTGAGGCCAAACCGTGTGAACATTACAAGGTGTGTGTGCTTTGGCCTCCAGACTGGTTTGTTTGAGGTTTACCTGAGGTAATGTTGTCTGTCATTTGGCAGTTACAGAAAGAGCATTTCTGTGGGCTTGGGTTGGATTAGGAGGTGAGTCATGGACTGTGATCCTTCCCAATTTTTAGAAATGAATTCAGACGTGATTGAGGTTTAGGTGGTCTGTGAAAAATAATCTGGGGATCTGTAGATGGCCAAAAATCAGCTGACCTGAGGATGTGAATCAGGCTCACAGAAGGCTGGGGTCCAGTCTATCTATCCTCAAGTCACTGCTGCTTCGAGGGTTCCAACATTCAAGGATCCTTCCCCGGCGCTCTGGGCCAAGAATGGACGTCCCTTGTTTCCCTTTGCTACGACCAGAGGTGTTTTCACCTTGAATACTGCCTCTCAGTTCTTCCTGAGTTCTTTTACAGTTCAACCAGCCTTGCCTTATTTTAGGGCAGTACAGGAACCAGATGAAATTCCCCAGAGCATTTGTTCAGAGTGTCCATCTCTTGTTGTTTGTGATATTGTATGCAAACTCAGAGATTTGCTAGAAAGCATTTCGGCGGTGGCATTATTTTTTAAGAGTGTGTTCCTTTGTACCTTCCCTGTGTTTCCGAGCTACAAGACCATCTTCCAAAGACATTTTTTACATGCTGCAAATTCAGTAGCATTAGTTACAGTGACAAGTGGCAGTGTCAACCACTGTTACAGTTTATAGAGGAGAAAAAGGATACTTTGCAGCATTTAGTTAAGAAGTTATTCTTAAATCCAAATTACCAAATTTCCATGCCTCCTTCAAAAATAGGGTGTGATTCATGTCATTAATAATCAATCTTTGCTTATGTTATCTTATTTATGTAAAAACAGCACATGTCCCTGCAGGGGTTTTTCACTGGGCATAGAAGGTCAACAAACTGGGGCTCATTGGTGTCGAGTGGGCAGGGACTTGTTGACATTGCAGGGCACCGAGGTGGTAGAGCATTTTCTCTCTTGGGGATTGCTTAACAATGAACAACCATGTCATTTGCAATTCCCTTCCTCTGGCCACAAATCAGTGAGTGAATAATTTGTATATGCCAATGGATGTTTTTAAAAATTCATCATTGAAGTTCAGGATTTAGTAGGAAAGTGAACATTTTGACCTGAGCCTGGGGCTCTTTTTTTTTTTTCACATATTATTTTCATGTAGGTTGTCTGGGGAGCATTTTCCTTTAAATTTCGTCTTAAGTCCTAATTTTTGGAAAATTTTAAGTGATGCTTTCAGGCATCACTTAACAATCATTGTTAACAATCATATTTATGGAGATTTTATTGTGTTTTAACAGATTACCTCCTCTAGTCCCCATGACAACCCTATGAGGTCAGTACTGTCATTATCTCCATTCAGAAGTATGGAGAGATTAAGTAACATAGCTAATAAGTGGCAGAGCTGAGATTTAAACTAAGGTAGTCCAGTTTTCTTAACCACCATTCTATTTTTATGTCCTCAGAGTTAGCATTGCGTGTTGCAGAAACTAAGCTCTTTGGTCCTAATACTTAGATTCTGTGGGTCTTGGAATCTGAAATTGGATGGCTAATTTATCAACAAGCTCTATTTTACATCTCTCTTGGCTTAAATAGTGGGACAAGTATTGTTGCTTGGCTCAGGAGATGGAAATTGTGTAATTTTCTTTTAAAAACACGCGTAGTGTCTAAAGGGATCACTGTAGGACCACATGTAAGCGGTTCCGTACAGTTATAAATAATTGGAATCCAGAATAAAGCAGATTAACAATTTAAAATTGAATGTAAGGCTCACCTATTTTAACTTCTAATTACATCACCTCATAGAAGACCTAGACTTTTCTGCAACTGTGGTGGTTGACACAGAGAATGCTGTTTTCCCTTGTTCTTTCCCCTCCACGAGCTGGGACTTTGGTTGGTGAGAAAAGGAGTCTGAGACAATGAGGAGGATGGAGAATGCGCCCAGGGTATTCATGAGGAGATCAGGCGGCAGCTGCTCCCGGTTTCTCCGGCCTTCTGTCCCCAGACTTTTGCTAAGAAAAAGTGAATTATAGAAACGGAGCAGCTTGGTTCTTTCTATGGCTGTTTGGTTTGTGAACAAGGGAAGTAGAAAAATTTCAATAGAAGCAGCTGTAGCTTCTTTTGTTGGGCCTCCAGGAGATTATTGGTTAAAGGCCAGTGGAATTGCTTTTCTCTGTATATGAAAACTGACACGCTTTTTTGAATTTCGATGTTCAGCAACACTTATTTTCCAAGAAGTTATCTGATAGGCACGGTATAGATTGAGTCATAGGACACTGAGGGAAAGGGGAGATCTAGGTGGGAGAGAGCAGCAATTAGATGATTGCTGCCTTTGTGATTATGTTATTTCCTAGCAAAATTATGCAGGGGAAATAGTGAGAAATGGCAGCAGGCTCTGCGATCTTCCAGAGCATCTCCTCTGACCTCCGCTTTATGTTTCTAAAAGCTACCAGTAGTGGGTGTTTGAAGAAGCAAGATGTTTCCTTGGGTCTGAAACTTTCCATTTGAATGAGTTTCTTTGGAGCAGATGTGTATGTTTTTTCAGCTGCATTTCTTATGGCTCTAAAGGGTCTATGAGTTGTCTGCCCCACCTGTTT